CCATAATAATGATTGCAGTATCTTCATTTATGTATATTGTAACTATCAATATCTTATTAAGTGAAGTGTACAATTTTCTTTATCTAAAACTAATAAAGTTAGAAGGACGAAATTCGAGGATGTGGTAGTTAACATATTAGTCCTTGACATATATATTTTTCAAAAATAAATATCGGAAATGTCCAAGGATATTCAAGGATAAAGTTTTAAAAGGACATTTTCAATACTTATTCGTCCTGGTGCACCCAAAAATTAATTTTTTTTTCTATTCTACAGATTTTTTCCTTTTAATTGATACCCATATTTTTATTCTAGAATGCACCGAATAATTTGTTTATTCAATCATATTCTAGAAATTTCAAAGTCCTTTACAAAAAATCCTGACGTCAGAGAGAAAAACTAAAAACGCAGTTTTACTATATTTGGCCCCCAGTTTTGTGAATATATTGATTTTTTCGTGTGTAAAATTGACTGTCGCACGGTGTAATGATCTGCTAGAAAAGTAAAAAACAAAGCTAGTGTTTGTGTGTACATAATACACTACCTGTTTGAATATGAGCTATTATACATGGTATAAAAAGCGGGAAAATGTGATTTTGTATTTCGAAACTGTATGGTGGAAAGTGTGTTCTAATATCTATTTGATACACACAAAATGATCACGGCTGTACTTTTTGCTGATATATTACATACATATGTTCCATTTAGTTAAACAATATAAGAATATTGTAGTATGTACCACAAAAACGTATATTTTCTATAAAAAATCATAACTCAGAAAAAAAAATCTTCGCTATTAGAGATTTGGGTTGATTGTAGTTCAAAGTGTATATTTCCTGATAAAAAAGTTTGAGAAAAAAAAATACACTTTTTGAGAAATTAAATAAAAAAAAAATTTGCACCTTTTGTTTATTGTTAAATAAAAAATTTTAAATAATGAAAATCAATAATTATATCATTCTATCTTGAAGTGAAAAGAATTACTGACATTTGAGTAAAAAGATTGTTGGAATCTATTAAATTTTGACAAAGTTATGGGCATTTAAAAAAAAAATTCTCTCTGTCAATTCGAATAATCGATTTTTGCCTGAAAAACAAAATCGCGTTTAATTCGGCCGAAAAATTGTTCCGAGCCAAAAGAAAAAATACGTGTCTCATTATTTGGACCAACAAACAATGTATTTGAGTTTGGTCGAAATTAAAAATCATGCTCGTACCTGACCGGTTGTCTGGAAATGGAAAGCACCAATATTTTTTGACAGCAGTAAATTTTTGATAACCGCAGATTTATGCGGAATAAAATATTACAAATTGAAGTGAAATTAATATTTTAAGAAAACATCTACCATCGTTGATTGCAATTCATCAATTTAAGCTTTTATTTACCGAAAAATTACACACATCAACAATCTTTGCGATTGTCAAAATTTTGTAGGCATTTGTCAAATATATCACTAGCCTCATGAGCTACTTAAATTTTATTCACCTTATAGTTGTCAAAAATTTACTCGCTGCGAACTTTGTTACCGATTCACACTCGCTCTTAATGAAACATAATAGGGGTATTCTCCCAATCTTGCAAACCCATTGCACGTAGCACGGATTGCATGGATTGCATAACTTGCAAACACACGACAACAAAATACATGGGAAACAACATTTCCTACCGCTGCAAAATATGCAACGACGAAACCCATGTACACTTGCCCGCATATTTCTGCGTACAGTGCAAAAAAATTGGAAAGAACAACTTAAATCGCACATTTCTCATCTAATACAACACGTATCGAAATGAACTTTATTTCCTTAAAAATATATATATCTTAACTACTATTACATTTATAGATATTTTAAAGTACAAATAATAATTTTAATTCATTTTTCTTTTAAACCATATATATAAAGACATCCGCAAAAGTCTGCGTACAAACTGTATTTTACAACGATGTTGATGCCCGCTGATATCGTAGTAACTAGTAGGGTAACCGTTTCTCATTAGCACCTCTCTAAGACGTTTTGGCATCGACTCGACGAGTTTTTTTGTATCTTCTCCTGTAATTTTTGTCCATTCCTCCGATATTATGTCCTTTAGCATACTTTTTGAGGTTATGGTATGTTTCCGGATCCTGCGCTCGAGTAAGTCCCACAAATGTTCAATTGGGTTAAGGTCCGGGGATTGCGGAGGTGTTCGCAACTGATTCCTTACATTGTACAACAACCATAGCTTCACATTTTGCGCGGTGTGTTTTGGGTCGTTGTCTTGCTGGAACCAAAACTCCTCCCTTAGCCCTAATTGTTGCGCACTTTGTAGTAAATTATCTTTTAAAATCTGTATATAGCCCAATTGATCCATTATGGAGTCAATAAATGTAAGTTTCCCAACACCGTTAGCTGCCATTGAACCCCAAACCATTACTCCGCTCCCACCATGTTTTACAGTTGGTATTAAATTTTCTTTTTCATATGCTGTGCCCCTCTTTCTCCATACTAGCTTTTTTCCTTTTATGCCGAAAATGCAAAACCTGCTTTCATCGGAAAAAATAACCTTGTTCCAAAATTCTGGGGTCTTAGACACATGCTCATTTGCGAAATCCATGCGTTTTCGCCTATTCACTTCCGAAATGTGTGGCTTTTTGCGGGCTACTCGGCTATGATACCCAGCTTTTTTCAAAATTCTTCTGACTGTATCTTCGGAAACAATTTTAGAAAATCTGTCTTCTACCTCAAGCTTCAATTGGATTCTGACGCGCTAACTATGCGATTCGTTCTTTTTCTCGCTTCGTTAGTAAGGACGGGCGAACAGCACGGGGTCTTGGTAAGATGGAACCGGTTGAGACATAATTCGACACTACCCTCTGTATCGATGGGTGAGTTCTGCTTTTTTTGCTGTCTCTTGTTATTGTATTTGATACATAACTTCGCTGCTTGCTACCCATGCATGCTACCACTTTGCAATGAGGTGCTCTAGTGCTCGTCGAAATTTGGAATATTATTTTTGCATTTCGTGCAATCCGTGCTTCGTGCAAGACTTCGAGAATAACGCTAATATCAATAGTTAAGTACATAATTAACGCTTGTGTTTTATAAACTGGAAAGCTCAAATCGTAATTATAGCACTGAATGGAGTTTTCTTAAATGTAAGTTTAAAATAAAAAAAGTACATCGTAAGATTATATTTTTATGAAAAACGTAAATTTTGTGAATTTATCAAGCCAAATTCTAAATTTCCGAATATATTCAAGTCTTTATTTCAAAAAAAAAACAAGGTTTGTATAGCTATACAGACCCCAATGCCTGCCAGCGCATCCGCCCAGACAGTCCATTAAGCACACCCAAGTTTGAGTGATCTACAAGTTACAAGCGTTTTCAGCATTTAACAGTTCGTTATCATGTACGGTGTAATATAACAAATTATACACTGAAATATGATAATCTGTACTAGTATCTATAATAATAGACAATAATTTGCAATGTTTTTCACTTTTGCAATTAGTTTCGGCCACTATTACACAGTCATGAATTGTGCCACTCTGCCATAGTACGGTTGTTGCTCCCTTTGATACCACAGTAATTTTGTATACAACTCTGAATCAACAAAATTCATGCTCCTACGTATATTTATTTTGTAATATAACTGCTAGAATTCAGAAATGTAATTTTAAAATGGTAACGAAAGTTAAGGTCGTAATAAAATTCCCTTTAAAGTTAAGATATTTAAAAACTATGTACGCATATACACATACTTCAGAACTTAAGGAAAGCATACAAATGAAATTGCATACGGGATAATATTAGAATTTAAGAATAATTAAGTAAAGAGAACGGTGTAATTTAATTTGTTTTAATATGAATAAATGAAAGACAAATAGTCCTTATTTTTTAAGTTGTAGGCATCATCATATGTGTGTGGTACGACTGTGTGGCCTTTTAAGTTTTACAAATAATAATTTTAAGCTAGAAAAATAAAACTGAATAATAATTATTACAATCAATAAAGTTAATCGAAAAAATAAAAATTAAGTAATAATAATTTCTTTTGAAAGAAAAATGAAACTCTAATTACACCGGTTTAAAGCACAAATATTTTATGGATGCAAGCTTCATTTAACTGGTGTGGAGTCCACTGATATATGTAGGTATATGTACATATATATTAAAAATCAGTATTGGAAATAGTACCCAAAAAGTAGTAAAAATAATCTCAATCTTTTCCCTCTTTTTTTACGACCATCAAATGCATGGCCAGCGTTTCATAAGTCAAGATTTATCTTGAAAATTAAGATTTTTGGGCTGTTTTTATGAAAAATCTTCAAAAGAAGATGAAGATATTTGTGTATAATGTAATATTTATTAACTTATTGCAATGTTGTGTGTCCAGACCACCATTCATACTATAAACGTAGCAAACCTATTTATGGCAAATTCTAGATATCAACCTAGTCTAGATATCAACCTCGTTGTAGGCATCATATCAAAGAGATACAATTAGAAGACTCTAGATGTCGCCCGCGAGAAGAAGTTAAATATTGCGCCTAAATATATGCACTATTTACATATGCTACAACGAAAATGGACGATACGCCATTTCTTTAAATGAAATTAACTGCTGCTATATGTATGTATGTACTAGGAATGTTAATCCCGGGATCCCGGGATACCGGACTTTTTAAGGTCTCGAAAATCCCGGGATTCTTGGCAAGTAATCCCGGGATTTTCGGGATTTGTAATTTGCACTGATGGCAATAATAGAAGCTCCCTTTCTTGACCAGTATTGGCTGTATTTCGTTTTTTATTTAATAATAAATATTTTTTTATAAATGTCTAGCTCAGGGCCAGTTTTTCAGTGCTAGTTTAAACTGTGTTTAAACTAAGTTTAGTTAAACTCAGTTTAAATTTAAACTAAGTTTAAACTTCTGACCAGTTTTTCAGTGAGTTTAAGGCCGCCTTCAACTTTTGCCTTTTAGTAAGGCAACACTGTTTTTTTCTTTATCTAGATAACAAAACAGCTGTTATTTATTTACACGTTTTGCTCAAAATCGTTTGGTGAATTATTGGAATATTAGTTTACGTGAAATAAAATAAAAAATGTCTAGACGAAGCGGCAATTTCTCAAGAAGTGAAGTAAACTACTTGCTGGAACTTGTGGACGCAAAGGATGTGTGAAAAGCCAAAGGATGGAGCGACGTTGAAGCGGAATTCAACGCAAAGTTTGGGCATGTCTTCAGGAACGCAAAAGTCTTGAGGACCAAATACGAAAATTTAAAGAAGACGGCAAAAAAATTTTTCGCAGTTGAGAGGAGAGAGCTGTATATAGAACCGGGGATGGAACGACTGCTTCTCTACCAACTACTAGTATCTATGATGATGACGCCTTAGAAATAAATGGTAATACTCTAACATTTTTAGAAAACTTTTACAATACATACCTCCTATATTTTAGACGAAAATTGCATTGTGGAGACGCTCGAGGACGCCGAAGACTGGATTGTATTTCTCGAGACTTCAATGGATCAGGCGTCAGGTACTACTAAACTTTTCATGTATTTGTGAATTTATTTATGCGTAGATACATTCCTTTAACAGATAAAGCACAGGAAAGTTCGTGAAAAAAAGAGTTTGGGTGATTGCAACAACATTAGTGTTTAGTTTTGGTTTATTAATTTTTAGTCTTAATGTGATTTTTTTTTTATTTTTTAAAATGTAAGGAAGCGAATGTAGTCATACGAAATGAATTTAAAGTCTGAGTAGTCTGTAAATAATTAAAGTAATACAAATGAATGTACCTTTTTTATAGTAATAAGAAAACTAATATTATGTGATAAATTTAGACCAATTCATATTTTATTACGTACGCTAAACCGTTATGTGAGCACTTAAAAAATAAAAGACAATATAAAATTTTTACATGAAAACTAACTGTCTCCATTTCTAAGCAAATCCTTAAAGTAATTGCTAACTAATGATGTTCTGGTTGAATTGTTTGGATTCGAAGTTTCTCGTTGCCTGTTCCTTGGAACTGAGAGAGCGAAATCTACTGCAGTGGAAGCATGAGGATCTAATAAAGGTAAATCGTTTTCATTATTTGTGCAGCAAATATTATGTAGAACAGCAGTAACAACAATTATGCTCTGGACTTTTTTGTGATTTAAACGAATTCCAAGTGACAGAATTGGAAAGCGCCTTTTCCAAATACCATGACTCCTTTCCACGGTACAACTCGTTCTTATTAAAGACTCATTGAATAAGTTTTCTTCTGGAGTTATCGGATTAGACAAAGGTGTTATCAAAAACTTTTTATTTGGATAAACACTATATGCAACAATTAAACTGTCCCTGAATTCACCGTTTCCGAAACGAGAATAAATCCTGGAATTTCTTAATATATTTGAGTCGTGAGCAGATCCGGACCAGCGAGCAACAATGTTTGTTATCTGTAAGTTTGCATCACACATTGTTTGGACGTTAATGGAGAAAAATCCTTTTCTATTTCGATAAAGCTCTGGATTATTGTCACCTATGGAATATGTCAATATATAATAGTATTTTGTGAGTTCGTCTACTAGACAATAAACAAAAGCAGGTACCTGGTGAGATTATCTTCACGTCCGTACAATCCAAAGCACCTATTACTGTGGGAAACTTAGCAATACTGTAAAATCCTGTATAAGTTTCATATTTTTGGCTGTCATCTTTTGGAAATATTATGAACCGTTCTCTTAGAAAGGCTATATGGCGTAACAACTTTGGACACTGTCGATTTTGATGCCCAAACAAATCGCCAATTGTTTGAAGCATTCCACCATTCGCATATACGCGCAAAATGATTAAAAGCATTTGCTCCTCTGTTAAGGCGTGATTCCTACAAATGGATAAATTATTACTTTAATTATTAAACTAAAAATATCCTTTCCAATCTGTTGGGTGCTTTATGTGATGTCCGTTAAGCTTCAAAATGCTTATGCAAAATGCAATGATGCCTTGCTCATCCGGAATCGATCATAAAAATCCTTGTCATCCAAGACATTGAAATGATTTGGCCGAGTGGATACAATTCTTGTCCTTCGCAATACAACAATTGTGAGTATTTCGCTTATTTCTGTGTCGCTATAATCAGTGTCAGTAGATAAATCCATTTTATCAAACAATTTTAATTTTGTTGATTTCACTTTCAAATAAACTTTTCCAGCTGATGACAACTCGACAGATGAACAGCAGATTAGTTAAACTCAGTTTAAACCTGCCAGATTGGGCGTTTAAACTTAGTTTAAATACGTTTAAATTGAACTGAAAAACTGCACATTGAGTTTAAACTTAGTTTAAATGAGAAACGAAGTTAAACTCGCACTGAAAAACTGGCCCTCATTGTACATATAACACCGCGCGATAGTAAATTTTAAAAACAAACATCAATATATTCGCGAAACCATGGGCCAAATATAGTAAAATTTCGTCTTTAGTTTTTCACTCTGACGTCAGTAATTCAAAAATGATGTAAAAAATTCAGAGAAATGTGCTTAGAGAACAAGTATGGGTATGAAATTAATGAGAAAATCCTGTAGAATTTAAAAAGATTCAAGTTTCTAGTGTAGAAGGGCTGGTAAATATTGAAAATGTCATTTTAAATTTTTATCCTTGAAATTTCGCAATATTTCTTTATGAAAAAATTATACGTTAAGGACTTATATAAACTTGATAACTTCCTCGAATTTTGTCCTTCTATCCTTATCAGTTTAAAAAATTACCTATTCGTCGTTGTGAATACAAAAAATTTTAATTTTTTTAAATTCTAAACAAATTTCCTTTTGCATTTGATACCCATATTTTTTTTCTCCATAGCTTTGAATTTTTTAAATAATTTTTGGAATTAATCATATCTTTGGAATTACAAAGTCCTTTAAAATAAATCCTGACGTCAGAGAGAAAAAATAAAAACTCCACTTTAAATAAAAAAGTAAGTTTCAAACCCATTTATTTATTATTTATTTCATGGTAGGAGAGCTTCTCAAACAATATAGAAGCAATTTTTTCGATTCAAGTTGTTGAAAAGTAATGAAGAATCTAAATCCCGGGACTAATCCTGGGATAAAATATTCGCATATACCACTTTCTGCTTTTTATTGAAATCTTGTATCGTCCCATAAGACTATCAAGCAGATCCACCCCGCCCATATGATGGTTATATTGTTGAATTATATTCGGGCATTTCACATCTACGTTTTTGCGTTGCTTCCGATCATATCTTCTTACCAACATCTCAGGATGAGTTCCAACAAAGGAGGAAATGAGAGTAACACATTTATTGTCTTTCCAGACAACTGACGTTATGTCAACTCCATCTATTGTCGTGATATATTCGTGACTTTTACCACGCTCTTCTTTTTTCATTGTTGCTTCTGTGGGCAGTTTACAATTAGGAAGTCTATTCCTTCGGACTGTTCCCAACGAAAAAATTCCTTCCTTCGCCAAATGAACCATGAGTGGAATGGCGGTATAAAAATTGTCATGATACAGACGATAGTTCTGTTTTCGAGGTATTATTCGGGACAAACGCAAAACTATGTTCGATGTTGCTCCAAGATCAGGTTCAGCTTCTGGTCTAGCCATATTGTTCTCATTTCCCGTGTAAATTTCAAAGTTGTAGGCAAATCCGGAAACTCCAGCTAAAACAAACAATTTGAATCCCCATTTGTGAGGTTTCATCGGCATGTATTGCTTCATATAATGCCTAACTTTTGTTGAGCACATTTGCTCATCAATAGATAGTTCTTTTTCCAAGGGAATGCTTTTGAATTTAAATAGCAGATGATCTATAACCGGTCTCAATTTGTGTAATCTGTCATGTCCTGGTTGATCTCTTGGCACAAATGTGGTGTTATCATTGAAATGCATGTTTTGTCGCAATTTTTCGAACTTGTTTACTGGCATTATTTCTTTGATTTGGGGAAATCCCAGGTCATCACTCCAATATGATCTTATATTGGGGGCATGTACAAGTGACATATACAAAACAATTGCGATATATTGTTTTATATCAGAAGCGCAATATATATTTTGTTTTTCCGGATTGTTTTGAACACTATATAAATTTGTTTGCTGGACAATATTCATTATTAGGTCTTCAGAAAAAAAATAGCTGAAGAATTGATACGGCGTTTCCAAATTGAGTAATTCACCTTCAATATCCGAATATCCATGAAAATGTAACTGAGCTTCATTTAATTGCAGATGCTTTTTCTTCCAAATAATATTTTTTTTCACTTGGCTTTGAGTTTGAAAAACGGCATGAGAACAGGACGGCAAGTCTTCATTATCAGTCCGAGAAGCCGTTGGAGATGGAGATGGATCCGTTTCATCTTCATTATCAAAATCTTGCAAAACATTTGGTACAAAATCAGGGTCTTCCAAACTGTCATCATCAAAAGCGTTTTCCTCATCTTCACTTTCTTCACTATTATATTCCATCAAATATTGCGCCAACACTTCTACTGATTTGAACGGCTTATTCATGTTGCAAATATTTTAGTTTCTCTGTAAGAGAGAGCTAAAACGACAGATCAAACAGTTACTAACTTTGATAAAATTTGTTTTCTTATTCGCACAATGTAGCCAATTGGCATCAAAGCTTTTTATAGCGATTTGATCGTTATAAAAAATATTATGATATTATCAACCGTTTATTGCACAAATACTTACCCTTTTTAAAGTCAACCAGAAATAAATTAACCCAAAACTTTTTATTTAATTGTAAAAAAAATCACGAGTATATGTACACACTTCAAGAGTTCTAGAAAAGTGAATGCTTGCTCTAAAAAACGCGAAAAATTACTTACATTAGGCAAAAACCACGAGTAAATGTACGAAATCATATAAGCAGTGCGTAGCCAAATGGCAACACGAGGAATTCAACTGTTATCTCTTGTGAAAGCAATAATTAAACCGTTCTAAAGAGTTTGTTGCCAAATGGCAACAAAATGCATTTAAGGGTTAAGTTATTTTTTATTTTCCTTTTGCTTTTTGTATGCATGCTTTTTCTGCAGACGATTATTGGCATGCTGGAAAAATGATATTACCGTCCTTTCGAACTCGCTGTCGGAAGCTGCAGTTGCAAATTTTTGATGGTACGCTTCTGAAATGATATATGTACAAATGTATGTATACAAATGTGTAAAAATTAAAGAAAAATACGACATACTAACGTTTTAGTGCTGTTGTTACACTTAAAGCTCGAACGGGCGTTTTATTATTTGTTCCTTGCCAGCAAAATTTTTGGGCTACTTCGTTTGTCATCAATTTCCGCCATCCTTCTTTTAAGAATTTGGATGAATTGCCACAAATTATGCTGAAAAAAACGTAATTCCAAATTTGTTCCTATATATTCAAAAATAGTACCAGGAAATGCTATCTCGATAATTTAGGTCCCCCCCTAACTGATAAATTGATAAATGTCTACAAATACAAATACAATTGTAACACTTCTAAGGTATTTCGTCTTACGTAAGTCCATGTATGTAATGATACTCCCCCATTTGGAAATTGCCACAAATTGTACTATACAGATTCAAGGACGATCCACCATCGGACCAGATAATTGTTGCCACAAGAACCTCTTCACGGACATAACGCTTTCATTAGGTTATTTAAGGCGGCAATGGAGGATATGCCTTCCGACGACCACAAAACCAAACGTGAACGATATTGTTGGTAAAAACGTTGGACCAAATGTTTAAATAAAAAATAAATTTTGGGCGGGACGAATTTCGCAAGGACTGCTAGTAATACCATAAAAACCGATTTGGATTTGGAAGAGATTAAAAATAATTA